ATCAAGTGAGGGTATTCCACAGGCAAGCCTCCCGAGGTGCAGGCTGAGGTGTGAATTAGGCAGAAGTGTGAATCTTGTACTACAGGCACAGACCGGGGATTGGAAAGATAGAATTGCCTGAGGCAGGTGACACGGAAATGAACTGCAATCAGTAATTATTTGATCGAGTGAATTAGCGGCCCGGCCACCAGTCATCCCCTCACGCACGCTATGCGATGCGGTGCATTGGACCTCGTCCCTATCCGTCTCTCTAACACTTTCGGTCCTAAATTTTTTCCGTGGAAAAGTTTTCCTCTTTCTGTTGTTTGTTACTTGGTTACTTGCTGTCAATAGTAATCTCTACAGTGAGTAGTAGAAATATGTAGTTGCAGCGGTAATGCTGGCATTTGAAGTCGATGGTGGCAACTGCCATCGCCAGGTCCGAAATGGCTGAATTTGTCGACTCGTTGAGAGTCGTTCTTGTGGTTTCTTCCTCGAGTCGTACTCGTTTCTACGTTATCAAAATGTCCTGCACCTGCCTAATGTGCCACTTTTAGATCGCCAGTCATGGAAGGGAAGAGACCTCCAGTATGACGGGGTATGTCTGGCAGCAGGTTAAGCAAGCATTTTGTTAACATTTTATGGTATATTCTTACTGCTACCTTTTGCAAATGTTCAACAAAAATGTGGACGACCGACTCGTGGTTATTCACATAGACTGTTCGCCGCAGGGATCACAGGTATGGGAAGAAGGATTTTTCGTTTTCTTACTGCGTACTCTGAATAGATTTCTTTCAGATCCATATGGACCATCATGGTCCACTTAGTCGTGCCGTAGGGAGTGCTGCAAAAACCGACCGACTTTGTCGAAACGCCAGATCCAATCAGTCCGTGTGTGTGTTCTCCGTGTCCGAGCGGAAGGTCCAGGTGAGTGTCAGTCCGTGTCCTTCCCTTTGTCGGTGTCTGAACTCCCCATATGCATCTGTCCGTCCTTGTGCCCCTCTGTACGCAACTGTCTCTGCGTATCCTTCTGCGTGCTGCCCGTCCCTGCTTATCTGCCCCTCCGTCTGCCTGTGCCCCTCTGTCTGTATATGCTCGTGCCTGTCTGTCTGGTACTCCGTCTGCATCTGTACCCAGCTGCGCCACTCTCCATTCTGTGTCCTGCGGTCTGTCGGACTGTACGCGTGTTTCTCGGCGAGCTTACCCTTCTATCCTTTCTGTCTGTTCAAGTTGGTATGTTGGCATACTGTTCAAAAATTCCAAACGAAATTGCTGCTCTCGGGAAACGCCATTTTCGGAAAGGGATTGAGAGAGACAGCGAGTGAGTGAAAGGGCAACTAATGCGAAGAGTTGGAAAAAGAAGGGGGGGGGGGCGGTTGAGGGTCAGAGAAGAAACCGTAAAGTGTCTGCTCTTGTTCACCTGCTTATTCCATTCTTGTAAGCAGGGTCAACCTTCCTTTCGCACTATCCGAATGATGGGGTCCCATTTGGGGGTTGGGAGAGGTTTACCATGTTGGGGAAAAGTGTGAATGGGGTGTTGTTTCTGTTTGCGAGGGTTCTGATGATGTTAGCGAGAGTGTCGCGAGTTGAAGAATGGGCAACAATGGGAGATTTACCGCTCAAACACATATTGCCCCCCCCCCCTCCCCCCTCCCCCCACTCTGACGGCTCTTTTGAAAGAAAATGTTGAGCGGGGCTGGACCGTGTCACTGGTCACGGGAATCTAAAGAAATAGCCAATGGTGGCGGTCGCTTGGATGTATCTTATTAGATTCGATTAACTTCCTTGTTCCTCAATTTCTGGAGTAAACCATTATTGGGTATCCAAGTCGGTACAGCAGAACTTGGTCGTCAATGTTTACATGGCAATCGACAAACAATTGCAAATGTAACACGACGATGAAGAAGTGTGTGCACGGCGTATCTCTAGAGCAGCAGTTTCTATTTCTTTTAGACATTTTATGGACAGTGGTGCTAACAGAGCGATGAAAACAGTCGAGCGGAGGATAGAGATAGGTAAGCAGACTGGGAGCATGCAATTCAGATGGATGGAGGGTCAGTCACAGTTGGAAGTAACAGGAGCAGAGGGGTGCGGGCCCGGACGGATACTGCGACAGGCAGGCCGGGACGTATATGCAGTCAGAAGCGGTGGAGGGTGGACGTGAAGAGCGGATAAGGAGGGTGATGAAAACAGGCGCAGGAGAGAGGGCAGAAGCGGTGAGATGGGCAAGGGCATGTTCAGAAGTGGAACGTAAGACAAACACGGGCGAAGGAGTGGGAGGATGAGACAGGGACATTGGCAGATGGCCGAAGAGCGAGAGGCTTTGAAAGTCATTTGTTTTCAAATGTTTCCAACACTACCCCATCTCAATTTGTCGAAAGAATCGTACATCCGACTTTCAGGCAGGCACGAGTTTTTTTTGTTTGTAGCGGACATATTTGTTTAAAATTGATCTCGTGGCTGTCATTTAGCATGGGAAAAAAGGTAGAAATTTTGAACCCTCCAACGAGCGCTTAACTGCTACTTTGAAGTTTACATTTGGCAAAGTCGCCAGTCTGACTTTTCATGAGCTTTGCCGACCGATTTTTTTTTCGCGCGCTTGGGCTTCTGGCAAACATATCTCTCTTCAAAACGCTTTCTGTAACTGCCTTCCAACACGGAGAAAGCAAGAGACGATGAGGTTACTAACGAGTCTTCACTCGCAAATTCCTGCACTTCGTGCTACAACTGCCGGTCTGACTTCCTGGAGGTTTTTAAACACTTTCCTCATGTGTGGGAGTTTTGAGCTTCGAAAAATCGTATTTTCCTCACATTTGAAAGAGTAAAGGCTTCTTTGGAAGTTAGGAAATGTGCTTTTTCAACAGGCACGGGAAGTGTTCTCCAGAAATGTTGACAATGAATTCCGCTTTTGCGCATCTTTGTTCTGAGCCTGGAGAAGCGAATCTTTCCATTTCTATACACCTCCCTTCTTGATATTGTCCTGATATATTTGGATCTCCAAAACAATCATTTCACTCATGATAAATCGTATTTGAAGCGTTGAGCAGCAACATCTTCTGCTCTGATCTGCGCCACGGATGGCGTTAAGACCTTGGGATGTCGCATTTGCGATTTTAGGAAAGGAGTGGGTCGCATTTGGATTTGAGAAATTTCAACCATACGTAAATAGTGCGAAGTGAGGTCGTTGTTTGCGGGAGTTGAGATGATTTTGGTGAAGACGTCGCGACTGAGGGTGGAAAACAGGCAGAAACTGGGAGTTTTACCGCGTTATCGCCATATTTATCTCCCTTTCCGATGGACGTTCTGAAGGAAAGAGCGCGCGGAATGTGGTGGGGTCGTGGGTCGTGGTGGGGGAGGGGGTTTTTCGGGAAGACCCTGAAATGCTAAAAATGTTTTAGATGCACAAGGAAGAAAATATTAAGGTGGCACCGACCATTGTCGCCAGAGTTAGTGTGCTGTTGAGTCAAGCATATTCAGGGTCACCGTTCTCCGGTAAATGAGTGTACGAGTGTGGCTATTTAGCGCCGTGAACTAGGTCACACAATCAGTGCTGATCTGATCTACATAGGAAGCAATAAGGGACTCCAAAACTGGTGGCCTGGCAACCAGTCACACCCTCGCGCACGCTACCCGTCTATTTTGCCCTGGCTCCTACTCTTCCTTTCTGTTCGATATTCAAATAAGATTCTGTCGAGTTATGGTTAATTCTTGAACTACGACTTTTTTGAAATCAACTTACGAATGCGTTTCATGTAGTAACTGTTGCTTTTGTAAGAAGTAATCACCTATAGAAGTTTGATCAACGTACGCTGGATTTGGCCTGTGATTTTGATCAGTATACAATGCGCACTGGAGCGGCCCCTCTTGCTACTACACCATCAGCGCTCGAATTAGTATTTTTGAAATGTGAATTGACAACTTAATTAACATTATATACACAATATCCATATTTCATTCGTGGAACGAAGCAAGTGTCCGCTAGCCACCGTACTTGATAGAATTGCAAGCCGCCCTCTGTAGAAGTGCGCGTACTTTGATGAGTTTGTAGAGGGTGGGGCGTACTTGCTACTTGCTTCGGTTGTAAGAAGTGGCATGTGAAGAGAGGGGAGGCGTGGGAGAAAATTTGCCGTTTTAGCGCGCGTATATCCCCCCGTCGAGGTATTTTTGGAGGAAAAATGGGGCGGGGGGTTTTGATGGAAGATGGAGATGTTGGAGGAGGTGTGGAAAAAGGGGGGTCGTATCAATTCCACCTTGGGGGAGCCTTGGCGCGCGCGGTTCGGGCGTGGATGTAACGTGTTCTTCTTAATAGTTCACCGGAACTCGGTGTACCCGCAACAAGCAGCAGATAGGACCGACTCCTGCTCGCTCGGCGGGTACACACGCGCAGCATGGACCCTTTCGCCGTTTCGAGCTGACTACTTTTTAAGAAATCTGTCTAACGCGCCCCCCGTGCACGGCCAACGGGTTGCACTCGTGTGGAATTTTGAATACACTGGGCTCTCCTAATATTGTGACATCCATACAGATGCCAGTCCCATCTATCTCTACTCTAACCGAACGTCAGTGACAGCTTACGGCCTAGCGCCTCTCTCATGGTTCATTGTTCCACCTGGTCGCAAACGAGAAATCGAGCTGGAGCAGGGTTTTACCATAAGTATCCCAGTCTGGATACTGACCATGGCAAACGGCTTTTTCTCACCGGCTCCCCTGATTCTAGAATATGGCATGAAGTTGAAGGAGAACTTGAGAGCACAGTTCACTGATGAGCTTAGCTCACATGGTCTATCTACACTTACACATATTTCAACTAACATGAATTCACTGCATCGAGGGATAATAATGTGAAATGAAAATAAGCATTAAAACGGAAAATGTCGGCTGTGAGGAACAAGTTGAGATAATACGAACCGAAAACAGACTATATGAAGCGGAACTCCGTCTGTGTGAAAAAAGATCAAGTCGAACAAAAACAGCAAAAGTGAGAGATCAGCTTGAAAGAACGGCGATGTCACAAAGGGCTCTCACTGGGTCACAAAAACCACAGACGTGGTATCTGATTGCCGCAGTTGCCCAGCAAAAGTCGACGCATGTTGCTGTTGATTAGCAAATGCAGCCATACCGAAATCGTTGTCATCACCTCGTTCTCGTAGTACCTAAACATTTGTGCTCTAGACCACACTATAACTGAACCTTATGAGCGTAGTGTATTTCAGAAAGTCGATAGTGAGGTTCTTTCAAGGACGATTTATTGCTATCTTCCTTCCTTACTAACCGTGCAACTTCTTTGACCGATGTGGTGTAGTGGCAAATGGCGCTGCTTGCCTGAGTCCGGTGGATCAAATCGTGGGTTGTGCGTCGTCCGACCAACCATCTGCGCTTCACAGAGACCCTCCCCCAGGACTGCGCAATGGATTAATTGGTACCGGACTTAAAACCCACTGACTTGAACATTGACTGGCCCCTAGCATGTTATTATACGGCCACATCACATTCGAATTGCCACTATGGTTCTGAATGGAAGTGGATTGCGTGGCGTATCCCATGTGTTTATTCAACAGGGGCTTGAGCTTTTATCAATTGAGAGCTTTTCAAAGATTTGCGCAAGGTGACGGATAGCTCCGTAAGCATTTGTATAGGCCAAATCGCACTCAGAAGTGTCACTGCTATTTTAGAGCGCGTCGCGCAGCTCAGGATCGACACCGGATGTTCCCGTGATTCTATTATTGAGCTGAAAGTACGTAAAAAAAACTTTACCAGAAATCAATTACAAAGGCAGTGAGAGCAGCATTCGACGAGTTACGAGCATATGTTGCCAGAAATACTGTGCAAAGGAAGTTGGGCAGGAAACCGGCCGACGATGCCAAGGCGCAGAACAGCAGTCGTCGTTCAAGAGCCTGCCAAATTATACGGTTACAAAAAGCTACAGTGATTCCGTGGACAAATGGGACTGTTTCTACGGCAACGACTGAGAGTATTTTCAGAAACCAGGTCATTGTTGCTCCGATATTCTGAATATAGCGCATTTTTTCTACCGACACGTGTGTGGTTCAAGAACGCTGTCGTCGTCAAAGGGGGGTGGTGTAATTACCAGCCGTCCTCCTTCGCTCCTATGTCTTCTCATTCATGTTAAAAGAAGATTTACGATAAGGTCAGGAGGAAGGGGAACCATACCTAGTAGAGAGACAGGCGGACTCTTGAAGGTGCGGACCAATACGCAGTTCGCAGGGAACGAACAGCCCTCGGCGGTCTAGCGGAGTCGTCCCCGCGCCGCTACCGCCGCTTCCCCCTCCCCCTTGCCGTCTGACTCTAGCTGTATAGCAGATGGAGCGTGAGCATTAATGAGGTCAGCACCGTAGTGACAGGCCTAACGAGCAAGTTGACGGGCAAAATGGTTCCCATTTCTCGGGTTCTGGGTTGACTTTTTTTTCGCTTCTTTTCATACTTGCATCACTGACCACCTCTAACTTGATTTCTAGTGAAATGTCCTTTCATCGTATACTACGCCTTTCCTAGCTATAAACCTAGAAGTATTTTCACGGGCACTGGACTTTTGGCTCGTCCGGGTTGGCACGCGGCAAATCGCGCGGCGGGCTGCGCGGCGATCCGGACGAGGCGAACCTTCGCGGGCTTTGCAGTGGAATTGAATACGTCAAAGCGTGTACCGCGGATAAAATCCGCATATTCTGCGATTCGCAGTGTTGGTAAGAAAACTCAAGTAAGAACAGTTGAGAAGGAACTAGCTTAGTGCTGTCTTAGCGATCAAGGCGCTCATGTCGTTGGGGGAGAGACTTTTCAAGGGGAGTGAGTTAG